GAGTTCATCCAAATTATTTCTTTTTTCCAACGAAGCTCATTTAAACAGTCATTGGAATTGTACTGTGTTATAGTCATCAAGCATGTTGCCTTCTTTACTCTGTGTGCAAAATTAACAATGGCATTCACATTTATCAGTTTACCTTTGAACTTTGACACTTCTGTTTCCGGATGTGGTTGTGGTTTCGGATTTGAACAAAAATATTGACGGATCGGTGGATTTGCATACCCCTATTCACCCCCCTCTTTAAGCTTTACCCCCTTTTAAAAATCTTGAACACTGATCACCAAAAGAGCAACACAAAAGTAGTGTAGAGACAAAAAACAAATGAAACACTATGGAGATTTGAAATAACTTGCGGGAAAAAAACGCTTTTGAGTGTGAAACCCTTACGCATGATTTTGGCAACATGTCGGTTAAAAGCTGTCGAAGACGATGGATCGAAGTATAGGCCACCCTGTCGTGTACCAAATAGTCTTTAATTTGCGAGCACTTGCTCGACTGCAAACGCGAAAGATCATATCATCGCTTTGACAGCCATTTTGCTCACAATGTCGCCTTTCGAGAAAAACACCGGTCAGCAGAATTACAGCAAGAAAGTTACGACCTAACGACTGCTGACTGCCTGACCGAGCGAGTGATTTTTCCCCAGATAACTGCTTTAACTCCCACTAGCTACTTTGTCACTCGTTAAAAAAGTTGAAGCTGCGTTGAACGGGTATTGTACTGTGAGTCTACTGTGGCCAACTGTGAAAGAGTGGGAAGATTTTACTTCCCCTTGCAATTGGGTGATTATGGACTAGACAATGCGGACTGCAGGCCCAAAACACAACCTCGTTCCCAGGGTCCTCTCTCTCCCATGAAGTTTCTCAAATCAATGCTGGTCAGCGGGTGCTCGCTACCAACAAAACAAGATGGCGACTCGAGGTGGAAATAATCGAGGTACGTGTGATTCATTAGTTTATAATTACAGATTTAAATTCATGCTATTTGACTTTTGATGGCAACGTATCACGAAAATGGAAGCTTCAGAATAGAAAATGTTACCTCTCGAATTGAAATTTGCTTGGTCTGACATTTCGAAAAAAGTTGTGACGTGGAACATGCACATACTAAAAGCTTAAAGTTACTGTACTTTATGTCGATGTATGGGTCTATGACCCTGAAGGTGACTCTCGCTCAGGTTGTGGAAACGTAAGTCACGAACAGCTGCTCTTTTCAGAACTAACCTCACCCAAACGACCAAACCATACGAACTATGATTGAGGTGCAGGAGTTCTTCATTTTTGGTGGTTCAGCTCCATTAAAGCAACCTGAACTGGACTTGGGTATAAAAAAGTTGGCTCTTATTCGTGAATTTGATTATAGTAAACATGTATCTGGGCCAGTTTTGTGTTTCCTGATATAAGGCCATCCCGCCCCTCTGGAAATTCCGATTGAGCTTCATATATTTCTTTAAATATTTTGGTCTTACAGAACCCCCTACCCCCCCAGGAAATTCCAATCCCTTCTGTGGGGGGAGTATGGATATTTTCTGGAACTGAACATTTTGGGTCGGTCGGTCGGAAAAAAAAAAAAAAGAAAATTGGAAAAGGAGTGTGGAGCTAGGAGGCCATGTACAACATGGCCTGGTCAACATGGTGGCAATGGAGGAAGGAAAAATCAATGTCATTGTGAAAATGAAACGAGAACAGAGAAAAAGCTAAAAATCTGTAAGGCAAAAAATTGCTTATGTTTCAGATTAAAGTGGCAGTTGTTTGAAATAATGTGTCATTGCTTTCATTGCCTTCTGTGTAACTTGTGTTTTTTTTTGAAAACGTGAAAATCTGGGTCGGTCGGACGACGCTAAACAGAGAAAAAAAAAAGGGGGGATTGCCTAAGTCTTAAAACCAGGTTGTGTAGTGGCTCATCAAGTTGATATTAAACTACTGGTAGCTAACTTTCTTTTATGAAGTGAATCTCTAGAATAAGTAAAGCATTAATTTTGTTATTTTCTCTTTATAAAATGCTTTTCCATTTCAGGCTACTCCCAACAATTTTGTTAGGTTGTCTGAGAATTTGTTGGTGCCCATTATTCAGGTACATGCACAGGGGTGATTAGGCAGGTATAGAGCATTGTTCCAGGGTGCATTCCGCACAATTTCATGTGGAAGATACACCAAGGCTTTTTAAATTCCATGCCACACGCCTAGCAAGTGGCCATGCAAAGTCCTGAGTAGAAGAATGCTATAAAAATGCCATCCCCACATGGATGTGAAAATTTGGACTCAAATCAGGGACGTAGTGGAGTACAGATGGACTGCAAACTTTATCAAGTGGAGAAGGCACTAGCCACTAAGGGGGTTTGTGGGCATGTTCCCCCAGGAAATTATTTTTTATGGGGGGGGGGGGGGGGCTTGAATATGCCATCTCCCATGTTTACCTGCGAACAATTTCATAAATTGAAACATGGAAAAACGCTGAGTGTACACACTGTTATACACCAATTACTCCAATTGCATGCTGGTACGCCTACATAGAATGCACCCTGGACCTTGTGTTCGCACCTGTAAGAATGTGATGCAAAAATGTTAGTCTTGATTTCCACCATGCTGCTATCAAAGCTGCTGACCACAACATTGACAGTGAAAATGAACTCAAGAAGCTAAAATTCCATCCAGTCTTGTTTATTATTGTTTCAAAATTCATTTAATAATAAATTATTTTTTCTTACATGCACACAGGCATGGGTTCAAGGACCACATCAACAGATGAAATGTTGGAGACTGAAAACAATCGAATGGTGGATGATTTGGCAGCTAAAGTTTCACGTTTAAAAGGGGTAAGAGGACACAAACCTTTCCCAAAGAATTGTTGTTTATCTCAGTAGCCAAAGTGCCCTGAATGTCCTAAGGCTACCCTTGTGTCTGTTTCCATAACAGTGCTGTTTTAACTGTTCTGACATGGTCTTGTTAAATCCATGTCCACTTTCCCCTTTGGAAGCTGTAGGAAGGGTGGTGTTGTTTCATCTGACCCAACACATGTATCTCCTGCAGACCAGTATGGCATCAATAAAGTTATTGCATGAAGCTCTGGTCTGCATGGTGCAGGGGTTTGTAAGAGGTACATGTATGCAAGTCTCAGTGCCACAGCAAGGCACATCATATAAATGGTGAAGTCTGCATACAAGCCAAGGGGCCCATCAAGCTGACACTTATCTTCACTTTCAGTAGCATGAAGTAACTAGGAGTATCACTACTTCCTTGGATGGAATACTTGTCAATTATAGGATTACCCCCAGCATTAAATTCACCAGTACCCATTTATACACCTGGGTGGAGGGAGGCACTGTGAGAGCCCAAGAATTTAACACAATTTCCCAGCCAGGGGTCGAACCCAGACAGCAACATCAGGAACCGAGCGCACTAACCACGAGGCCAGCGTGTCTCCACAACCAGACAAAGCAAATAATCAATATTAGCTCAATAAATTAATTAGTCCATGTTGTTTTCTTGTCAGATTGCTATCGACATTGAGAATGAAAGCAAGCAACAAAATAAATACCTTGATGGAATGGTAAGCCAATACTAACTCAATTTACATAATTGTAAACATGTAGATTGTAGCATTAGGCTTGATGGTTTCACTTTGAAATGTTAAACAATAGCTTTACTGTACATAGTAAACCTCTATGCTTTCCTTTTTGTTATCCGACATGTGAGGGCACCCTGCCTCTGATATTATTGTTTTGGCACAAGTTTGAAGAGGGATTTCAATCTGGGATACTTCAGGAATCTCTTCATGAATTGATGTGAACCTTTAGTGCATTTGCAGTGCAACATCTGGTTGCCCCTATTTTAACGTTACATTGGCAATCTTGTTGAAATGCAGGTTGAAGACATTAAATTTCTGGTGTGTTTCTTTGTTCTACTTACGTTTTTTGTTTTGTTTTGTTTTGTTTTGTTTTGTTTTTGTTTTTTTGTGGAGGTGGGAGGTTGAGTGACTTTGAAGTGTCAGTTTATCAGTTCATTAAAACACTCTTTTACACTTTTTAAATTCTATCATTTGATTATAACAAGCTATAATTGTCGGGCATCATTAGTAAATTGTAAACTCCAAGTAAGCTAAGTTTATGAGTTGATTATTTTTTTCCTTAAGATGGATCAAATAAACAGTTATCACCTGACATCATTTGTGTAGTTGTGGGGGTACGAGTTTGCATGTACAACTGGGGTCAAAAGGTGTATAAGGGCTTGAATCAAGAATGATTTAAGGTCATTCCTCACATTTGCATTGCGCATCCTTACTGCGCATAATTTATGGCGTCATTAGCGCGCGCT